CTTCCCGGACCGGGGCACGAACCCGTGTCCCCTGCATTGGCAGGCGGACTCTCAACCACTGCGCCACCAGGGAAGCCCCTTCCTTCCTTTTTTGAACTGAGACTAGGATGCTGAAAAACAAACACTAAGTTGGAAAAATATGAAAGGATTTTTGTTTTGTTTTGAATTTACCAGTTGTATTAGTCTGGGTTCTCTAGAAAAACAGAATCAATAGGATCATACATAGTAACAGATTTACTATGAGGAACTGGCTGACAAGATTACGGACACTAAGAAGTCCCAAACCTGCAGCTGGCAAGCTAGAAATCCAGTCTGAGTCTGAAGTTCTAACAGCCAGGAGAGCTGATGGTTTAAGTTCCCATCTAAAAGTCACAGGTTTGAAACTCAAGAAGAGCTGATGTTTCAGTTTTTTTTCTGAAGGCAGGAAAAGACTAGTGTCCCAGCTCAAGGCAGTCAGACAGAAGGAGTTCGAGTCCCCTCTTACTCTCAGAAAAATCAGCCTTTTTGTTATATTCAAGCCTTGAACTGATGGACGAGTGCCATCTACATACACTAGGGAGAGCAATCTGCTTTACTTGTCTATCGATTCAACTGCTAATGTCATCCAAAAACACCCTTACAGACACACCCAGAATAGCATTTGACTGAATACTGGGCACCCTGTGGCCCTATCAAGTTGATACATAAAATTAAAGATCACATCAGATTAAGGGCCTTTGTCCTTTCCATGACAAAACTAACAGAATTCCGTTTTCTAAAGCACTTGAGGTCAATGTAATAATGCATATAAAGAAGAAACTGCCAGATACCCACTTTGGAACAAGGAAATATGCCAACTAATGCCGAAAGGTTGTAGCACCTCAGTGTGGTCTCCTCTAGTCACAATTACATGAAGTGGACTACAGAAGATAGGCGATGCCTTGGTTGGGCACATGTGTGGAAGCAGAGGGAATTCAGGGGAAGAGGTGAATATCACAAAACAATGCAAAACTAATCTCCCAGTGCCAAGTCATATATATGAGGGAACAGAGCCAATTTTCTGGAGGAATGAGAACATAAGCCTTATAAGGGCTTTGACTATCTCTTTAGCTAAATCATGGTAAAAAGTGGAGAACACCCCTATTAACACCCCCAAAATACCACTTGAGGTCCTGAACCTGAAGATCACCTTCCAACACAGAGCAAATCCTCTATACCATTCCTGCCACTATCACTACTGCCACCAGAGCTACCACCAAAGATACTGTATACTTTACATACTGAAACCTTACAATAAATATACCCATTTCACAGAAGAGGAAACTGAGGCTAAGAGAGGCCAAGTGTTGTAGGTATGCTTTTTGTTTGCCTAGTGTATTTCTGACCCCTTCCTCTGATAACAGATCCCGCCCCTGATGACAGAGTGACACATGGTTAATCAATCAGTGTCTGACTTCTAGGAGGTAGGTGCTCAAGAAAGCTAGAAAGAAGCTAGGGTGAGTTGTCTGATGATAGATCCAGGTAAGAGTCTAAGACATCCTGCACCCAAGGCCTTTGGTCTTCCTGGCCTTCCTGAAGTTTGGCTGTTCAGTGCCTTGTTCTATTTTGTGTGCTATCTCAGTATCCTATCCTGTGGTTTGAACTGTAGTTGGGCGTTTTCCTGATCATATATGTTGGCTTCTTTAGTAAATTTTTTGAAAACAGTTAAGCTAACATGGAAAATCTTGTAAAATTACTCTATAAAATATAATTCCATTGTTGAAAGGGAAAATTTTTAGCGGGCATATTTGAGTTGCATTATTTGAATACTATATAAAAGAGACAGCCAAAGGTATAAGAAAATGGTACTTGCACTGTGCTCTTTTTCAGTCAGTGAGAAGAAATGAGAGCAAAACCTTCAAAAACCTTCCAGAGAAGCAGGTGAAGAGTTGAAAAGAGCAGACTTTCTCTTGCAGGTTAATCCAATGGAAAGACCCAAACATTCAGATTCTGCTAGTGTGTGTGTGTGCCCGCGCGTGCACATGCACGCCTGTCTGTGTGTGTAATCTTGTATTTATCGTTAACACATACACTGAAAAGATTCTGGAAGTGGGGTGCTGCCCTAACAAAATCCTAAAGTTAAGTTCATGTGAGTGGGTTTAGAACCTTATAGGGGACAGAAGCTGGAAGGACTTTGAGGAATTTGTCAATAAAAGTTTCAAAAATCCTGAAGAAACTTTGTAGAAGCACAACAGGCTTTGAGGAGACCACTGGTGAAGGCTTAAAGCAAAGTGAATGTACAAGAATGTTCACAGAAACACTATTCATAATAGCCAAGAAGTGGGAAAAACTCAAAGGTCTTTCAATTGATTAGCAGATAAACAAAATGTGGTATATCTAGGGCTTCCCTGGTGACGCAGTGGTTGAGAATCTGCCTGCCAATGCAGGGGGACACAGGTTTGAGACCTGGTCTGGGAAGATCCCACATGCCGCGGAGCAACTAGGCCCGTGAGCCACAACTACTGAGCCTGCGCGTCTGGAGCCTGTGCTCCGCAGCAAGAGAGGCCGCGACAGTGAGAGGCCCGTGCACCGCGATGAAGAGTGGCCCCCGCTTGCCACAACTAGAGAAAACCCTCGCACAGAAACGAAGACCCAACACAGCCAAAAAAAAAAAAGTGGTATATCTAGTCAATGTAATATTATTTGTCAGTAAAAAGGAATAAAGTACCGACACATGATACAACATGGATACCTCGAAAATATGCTAACTGAAAGAAGCCAGTCATAAAAAACTAAGGCAAAGATTTCTTATACTTAACACCAAAAACTCAATCCAAAATTGAAAAAAAATAAGTTAGGCTTCATCAAAATTTAAAAGTTTTGTTTTTGAAAGAAATTGTTAAAAGAATGAAAAATTAAGTCACTGTCTAGGAGAAAATATTTTCAAATCATGTATCTGATAAAGGACTTGTATCCAGTGTACATAAAGAGCTCAAAATCCAGTAAAAGCTAAACAACACGGTAAAAATGGGCAAAACATTTAAATAGACTTTTCACTAAAGAATACATACTGATGGCAAATAAACATATGAAAAGATGTTTAACACCATTATTAATTAGAGGAATGCAAATTAAACCACAAGGTAACATTACAAACTATTAGAATGACTAAAGTTAAAAGTGACCATATCATTGCTAATGAGGATGTGGAGTAACAAAATATCTCACACACTACTTGCAGGAATATAAAAGGGCACAACTAGTTTGGAAAACAGTTTGGCAGTCTTTAAAAAGTTAAACATACAAAATATACACCTATCACACGATCTAGACATTCCACTTCAATATATTTATTCAAGAGAAATAAAAGCATATGGCTATATAAAAATTTGTGGCATATCTATATCATGGGCTATTATTTAGTATAAAAGGAATAAATTACTGATATACACAATAACACAGATAAATCTCAAAATACTTATGCTGAGTGAAAGAAGCCATACCAAAAAAGGGTACATACAGTACATAATCCTATTTAAATAAAATTCTAGAAAATAGAAAATGTTTTACAGTGATAGGAAGGACTTAAGTGGTTGTCTGGGGGTTGGTGAGGGGATTAACAAGGGGCATGAAAACATGTTGGATCTTGAAGAATATGTTCATTATCTTGATTGTGGTGAAGGTTTAACAGGTGTATACAAATGTCAAAACATGTCAAACTGTTCACTTTAAATTATTCCTCAATAAAGCTGTTAAAGAAAAAAAAATTTTTTTTCTGTGTTCAAATTAATGTTTGTGGATTCTGTCTGTGACTGGGTACTTTGTGATACTCACCCAATTTAAAGTAGCCCTCCAGTCACTATATTACATTGCCTTGTTTTATATTATTTTCTTAGCCCTTACTATCTGAAGTTAATTTGTTTATTATTTGTTCATCTGTACTCTTCATTTTAACATGGATTCATGCTCAAAAAATTATCTTGAGTTTCTTTCATTCTTATTTTCCTTTCCCCTTACACTATAAACTATATAATTATCGATTTAGACAGAAAAGTCAATTTCATTCATTCCTTCAGCAAATATTTGTTGAATGCCTATTATTTTGCCAGTCACTGTGTCAAGTATCAAGCATAGGGAAGAGATGAATCAGCTATGACTCCTGCCTGGCAGGGAACCCTTCCAACTATTGCTCTACTTACTGCCCTTCATTTTATGGTGAAATCTTACTTATCTCTCAAAACCTGACTCAGATACTCTGTCAGGCCTTTCCTGATCAAACAGACTACCTGCCGCTTTGTTCTTCGTAGGCCTTGGCTTACATTATGTAACAGAATCTGCTAATTTTTTCCATGAATTCATTCTCTCCTTTTACCTTTTAGTGATAGAACCAACCCTCATCTCCCCACTCCTGACACTAAATTCTAGCCAGGCATTTGGCCACCTAACTGTAGTCTAGCCTTTTGTAGAGCAAGGCATGGCCATGTGATTTCAGGATAATATGATATGAGTGAAAGTGCTATGTGCAACTTTTGGATCATCTTTAAGATGAAGCATTTGTCTGGTACTTAATCTTTCCTCTTCCCACTTGCTAGAACACAGACATGAAGGTGGGCAATGTGGACGATGAAAATACCCTCGGAAATGGCAGAAAAACAAAATGAAAGAAACTTTGGTCCTTGAATCACCTGCTGGCCCTGAAGTGTTTACTCCTGGATGGTCTGCATGAGAGAAATAATCCCCAATCTTACCTAAACAGTGTATTTTAGAGTTTTTGTCTGTCTGCTTCTCTCTCCCACTCTTTTTAACAGCAACTTCTTTTGTAGCTAATAAAAGCAGCACTGTTAATAGAAACTTCCCCTATGGAACTCCGTGTACAAAGTAAGTAGATCTTATTTTCTCTGGACTGGAAGGACATCCAATAAAGAGCAAGTGACAAATGTCTAATACAACAAAATCAAATCAATTTCCTGGTTATCTACTATGTGTAAGGGACTAAGAAGTTACACTAGTAGTAATTTATTATTGCAAACCTGTTTTGTAAAAACTGTTTTCTGGTACTTCCCTGGTGGTGCAGCGGTTGAGAATCCGCCTGCCAATGCAGGGGACACGGGTTCGAGCCCTGGTCCGTGAAGATCCCACATACCGCGGAGCAGCTAAGCCCAAGCGCCAGGACGACTGAAGCCCGTGTGCCTAGAGCCAGTGCTCCACAACAAAAGAAGCCACAAAAAGTTTAACACTTAAAAAAAAAAACTGTTTTCTATTTTACTGATTCCTGCTCTTTATTATTTCCTTCTTTCTACTTCATTGGGTTAATTTTGCCTGTTTTTTTTCTTTTCTAAAGCTTCTTTACATGGGAAATATTTTTAGTAATTTCCTAAAATATAAGTATCTGAAGCTATGATTTTCCTTCTAAGTACAGTGGTGGACACATCAACATATTTGGAAATCAGTAACTGTTTAAAATCAGTCGTTACTAATTCTTAACAACTGCATTTTGTCAGAGAAGGTAGTCTGTTTGAAAACAGTCATCTGAAATCTTTCTTTCTTCACGAGTGCTGGAAAAGAGTGCATTCTGAAGCTGTTGGGTGCAATATTCTCTTTAGGTGCCTTATATCAAGTAAGTTAACTGTGTAGTCCAAATCATCTATAGTTTCATTCATTTTTCTATATGCTTTTTAAATCAGCTACTGAGAAAAAAGTAGTAAAATCTCCCACTATGATGAACTTATTTACTTCTTATTATAGGTCTATCAATTTTTGCTTCATACATTTTGAGTCTGTGTTATTGGGTCCATTCAGGTTTAGGACTGTTAAATCCTCCTGGTAAATTGAAATTTTTGTTATTAGGTAGAGACCCTCTTTATGCCTAATAATACATTTTGCCTTAAAGATTTGATTGTACAATATATTTAAGATGTTTCTCAGGCTAAGTAGTACATGATTAAATTTCTTTTTTCAATCCAGTTTGAAAATCTTGGTCTTTTAAAGTATTTGATCTTTTGCATTATTTCAATATAATTACTAGTATATCTTTATTTTTTTTTCTCCTATCTTATTTTGTACCATTATTTTTAGTATCCTGTCCAGACTACATTTTGTTTTCTCTTTTTTTTTCTCTCCATTTGGGTTCAATTTTTCCTTAATCCATCTTTTTCTCTACCAGTTTGGAAGTTATGACCTTTTCCAATTCTTTTAGTAGTTTTCTTTAAAATATTAACATGCAGGGCTTCCCTGGTGGCACAGTGGTTGAGAGTCCACCTGCCGCCTGCAGGGGACACGGGTTTGTGCCTCGGTCCGGGAAAATCCCACATGCCGCGGAGTGGCTAGGCCCGTGAGCCATGGCCTCTGAGCCTGTGCATCCGGAGCCTGTGCTCCGCAACGGGAGAGGCCACAACAGTGAGAGGCCCGCGTACGGCAAAAAAATAAAAAAAATAAAATACTAACATGCATATTTACTGTTTTAAAGTCTAAAGTTAATTTGTATCTTTACCTTCTTCCCAAATAAGAACCAATACAAGGACCACAGAATGCTTTTCCAAACTTCTTTTATCTGCTCCTCAAACTTATATTGTTATTATGTATTTTAATTTTATCTTCATTTTTAACACATTATTTTATTAATTCAACGTTTATTTAGATTTCCTCATACACCTACCACTTTCCACATTCCTTTCTCTTTGCAGTACAGATTTTCCATGTGGACTCACCTACCTTTTGCCTAAAGTATGTCCTAGAATTTCTTTTAGTGAAGGTATGCAGGTAGCAAAGTCTCTCCGTTTTTGTTTCTCTGAAGAATATTTTCCCTTAGTACACTGAAGATAATATCCTGTCTTACGTCCTCACTTGCTGCTGTTGAGAAATCAGTTCTTGCTTTTCTAAAGATGTCTTTCCTGCTGCTTTTAAGGTCTCTGTGCTGAATGCTATATTGTCATGATGTGTCTAGATCTGTATTTTTAAAAAAATATTTATTTATTTATATTTTTTGGCAGCGTCGAGTCTTAGTTACGGCAAGCAGGCTCTCTAGTTAAGGCACGTGAGCTCAGCAGTTGCAGTGCGCAGGTTTAGTTGCCCCGTGGCACGTGGGATCTTAGTTCCCTGACCAGGGATCGAACCCGCGTCCCCTGAATTGGAAGGCAGATTCTTAACCACTGGACCACCAGGGGAGTCCCTAGATCTGTATTTATTTATTTATTTTTATCCTCTATTCATTAAAAAAAAAAAACTTCTTTATTCTGTGAATTGATCTCTTTCATTAAAGAGAATTTTCAGCTATCATCTCTTCAACTATTGCCTCTATTTGCCTCTATTTGGTCTCCTCCTAGAATTTGATTAGACATTTACTAGGTTTTCTTTCTCTTCTTCCAGGTCTCCTATCTCTTGGGCTGAATTCTACATAATGTTTTGCTTTTTCTTTAAATAACTTTATCTATTTATTTATTTTTGGCTGTGTTGGGTCTTCATTGCTGCACACGGGCTTTCTCTAGTTGCGGCCAGCAGGGGCTGCGGTGCACGGGCTTCTCATTGCGGTGGCTTCTCTTGTTGCGGAGCACGGGCTCTAGGTGCGCGGGCTTCGGTAGTTGTGGCTCGCGGGCTCAGTAGTTGTGGCACACGGGCTCAGTTGCTCCAATTAAGCCCCTTAATTGGCTGGCCTTTGGTTTCCTATATATAATAGAGGGGTAGGGCTGGATTCTCCTTTCAGGACCAAAACTCTGTGACTGCACAGAACTATGTGATGTAGAGTATACTCAAAATAGAAGTTTCTGATGCTCAAGACATTGCTTAAGGCAAGCCTATTTTCACATTTTAAACATACTGCAGCATGTTTTAAATAAGCTTACACACTAGTGTGGCCATTAAAAAAAATCAGTATAAACTACTTTTGTACTTCAAATAGATTCTTAATGATTCTTAATATTTTGCCATGTTCTTAGTTCTGAGAACTTCATTATTCTCTTCGTCCTTTCTGGCATTTCAAAATTTTTAATGTAGCTATTACAACTTATGGATTATCTGGGTTTTGCATGAAAAATTACTAATACTCAAAAGCTGCATCTGAACTATCTGCCAGGAGTTTATGTGAAGAATTTTGAAAATATAACCATTTAAAACTGTCAGCATATTGCATTAATCATTTAAAAAAAATCAACCTAATACCACACAGATTAAATTGTCCAAAGTAAGTTTTAATGCAACATATTCACAGGTTTACACTATAAAGTTGTGAAAAGAATATCTTTTTCAAATTTGATTAAGTGCTGCAAGATGTTGAAGAAACTCAGTGCTCAAATGAATTATATGTTTGATGTCATTTTTGGCAAAGCCTCAGAAAATGTCACATAAAAGAAAAACATCTTACTTAAAATAAGGTCTTGACAGCAGTCTGGAATAGTTAACAACTCCATTCCCAAATGGGATTGCTGGTTATAATCAACCTTTTAATGATGGTATTAGTTCCCCCCTTGAGACAATTTAAATACCCAAACAAAACAAAAAACATGTGCACGCACACATACACAGCCCTCACCTCTTTTATTTTCTAAAGTGGACAAATTTACAATTATTTCAATTCAGGTTCCAAATATCTAATCTGATTACAAAGTTTCCTTGCAGATTTATCAGTGGCCACTTGAGAAATGACAAGACGGCAGGCTACCAGGCAATGTCAGTCAGTATTTTCTCATTTTGTTTTAATTTATGAGAGGTATAAATAATTACCATCAGTGATCGAGATGTAGACCCTGAGTGTCAGTGCCCTCACATCTTCTAGATCCTAGAGCTGAAAACGGTGGGAATTTTTCATCTCTCATTTACGTTTATACAGTTTTTGTATCCATCATCTTCTAAATCTTAGTCTGTCAGATATGAGACAGTTAAGAGGAAGAAATACCTCTAAAAGCAATTTGTCCATTTAAGAGTTAACAGTCAATTTCACTTGGAAAGTTTGAAAAAAAAAGCATATTATGAAAAGCTTATGATAAAATAACATTATGGAAAATAATACACATGTGTGTTTCTGGCATGAAGATTAAAAAGTCCAGAAAAATAAATATCACAGAGTTAACCATGGCTGTCTTTGGAAGAAGTATTATGGGGTGATCTTTCTTTTTCTCCTTTATGCTTTTCTACATTTCTGATATTTTTGCAAAGGACATATGTTACTTTTACAATTGGAAGAAATAATACAGCTTTCTTTTTTTTAAAGAGACAGTTATGCTCAAAGGTTAATACCTACCTCTATCAATTAGCAAACCTATTTTTAATGGGTTAGGAATGGCATAGATATTAATAAAAAGAAGACAAATTGCAGTTACTAAAAATATAGCTTAAGGCTTTTGTCAAATTTCGCACATTGGAATTATATCAGTCACCAGGCAGAAAGAATGCTTATTAAAAAAATTATATTAAGACACTGAAGGGCAGCAAAGAGGTACCCCTAACACATTGGTTTTTAAAAGTAGCAAGAGATGAGTCCTAAATAACTAATACGAGGTCTGCAAGATGGCACAGAATGCAAGAAAATAAAATTAAATATGCCCATAACATATGGTTATCAAAGTAAAGCTCAGCAAGATTTGCTCACAATAGCTAGGGAAAAGTTTGAGATGGACTGTCCAAAACAGAACAAAGTACTTTATGGACTCTCACATTAAAGATGATCATCTCTTACTCACTGTATCAAAAGATTAAATTCTTGGTCTAATTGTGAGGGTATGTACATCTTTAAACTTGCTATACCCCTTTAAAAGTCTTTATTATTTAAAAAATTATATTTTTGAAAAACTTACTGTTAAAAATAAAGCATGCTTTCTGGCACATAAAGGTAGTAAAATGCATTCAATAAAATTTCACTTGACAGACTGTCCTGGCTACAAAGGGAAGCTTCATTTTCCTAGGACTTCTAGTAAATGAGGTGTTCCACACAACTACATATTTCAGATAAGAGAATCTTATCTTTAACTGATTAAAATAATAAAAAACTTTTTTTTTTTACTAATTAGGTTAGAACGATTGCC